CCAACGCCCCCCCCCCCCTCCTCCCATATATTTGATAAAACATAGTTGTATTTGTGTATGAACAGAATTTAGAGGCGAAATCAAGATTTGAACCTTATGTGTTCGAAATTTTAGTATTTTTAAAAAATTGTGTTCTAAATTAATAATATACTTATATAATTAATAAATGTCTTGCAAAAAACAGAGTCGGGCTAAAACTACTCGATTCGATCAAACTCGCGACCGGAAGACTAGCTCCGCCCGTAAGTATGATGGTTAGGAAAATCCTAGTAATTAGTAAAATGAACCGTGATTATTACTCATGCTTAGTGGAGTGAATTAAAGGTGTAAATTATGATTCTCCACTATATAACTCAATTTCGATATTTTTAATTAAAAGTGAAAAGACTCCATTCATTCTATCACAATCCTTATCCATAAAAAAAGCAATTTCACCGTCAAGTAAAAGGAGTAATAAGAAGATAAAAGTCATAAAGGTTAGTGCCATTTACCATGATTATGACTATCACTTGGTCCCAAGTTAATGAAAACATGTAACGTGGTAATAATCCCACCTTTTTATATGTGGTAATGGTGATTTAGTGGAAGTGAGGATCATAATTACCATCCAGCTAAAAAGATTTATATTCTTTTCGGTTCACGATAAGTAATTTTTGACTTTTTTTTTTGTGATCTAAAATAAGTAATTTTTTTAGATTTCAAGAATGAATTAATTATTTTTTTCCTACATTGCCCTTGAAGTAAATAATGTTGGAGTATGTGTTAGGACTAAGGGTGTTCATAAAAATCCGAAAAATCGAACCAAACCAAAAACTGAACCAAACCAATAACCAAACCAAACCAAAAACCGAACCAAACCGACCAAAAAAATCAATACTTTTTAGGTTTGGTTTGGTTTTGATTTTAATAAAAAAATAACCGAGAAAAAACCAAATCAAACTGACTATAAAAGTAGCTATTTAAATTTATATCGCACCTATATATATGTATATTTTTATATAAAGTTTCTAAAATTTTATGGTACATATTAGCCATTTGTTTTTTTAGTCTAGTCCTTTGCTATTATAATAATCTAATTATTTGCTTTCTAGTTTGATTGGTAGTTTCTTTTGCTAAATACAAGAATTTATTTTATGTTAAAAATAATCGATTTTTAATTGAGTACGTAACTTATTCATCACTATTTGAGTCAATAATCATCAATATATCTTGGTAAATAATAGATTTCTCAAAGAGCAATTGATTTGATAGCGTTACGTTGAAAATGTAGTTGCCGGAATACGCGTTTGGTAGTTTATGTCTCATAAAAAATCGAAAAACCGACAAAATTCGAATCGATAAAAAGCCGACTTAATTGGTTTGGTTTGGTTCCAATATTTGAAAGTGACTTACTTGGTTTGGTTTTTTTAGGGAAAAACCGACTCAAACCGAACCATGAACACCCCTAGTTAGGACTATTTATGTGAAAAGATCGTAAAAACTAATATGTTCAATTTCATTGCTAATTAATGTTAAAATGTAAATTTCTTAATATATATGGAAAAAAATCAAAAAATCGCTTATTTTGGACCGAAGAGAGTAATACTCCCTCTGGTCCACAATAAGTGATTTTTTAACTGTTATTAAGAAATTCACCTTTTAACATTA